AACAGGCCACCAAGGAAATCAGGGTCAACCCTGCTTTGAGTCACAGACCTGTGACAGGACAAAGTGTTGTAAGCCAAGGATCTGTGACAGGATGGAGACAACGCAGGGATAGTGTCATCTTGAGCAAACATCAACTAGACGTCCACATGCAAAACAACAAAATCCAATCCACACCCACATGGACTGAGCCTTGTCCTCTCAGACCATTGAGGTGAAGCCCTAATTCCTGGCTTTGTGGGATCCGAGATGGGCCTTCAAACTAATTAGAGTGGGGTGCGTTCAGGGTGTGAGGCTCTCACCTTGGGATTCATGTCTTCATAGGAAGAGACACTACAGTGCTTGCTCTCCTCCTCTGCCATGTGAGGACACAGTGAAAAGGTGGCCACCTGGAGGTCATGAAGAGGCCTCACCAGAAAGCAAACTCTACCAGACCCTGATCTTCGTTTCCAGAACTGAGATAAACAAATTTCTGTTGTTTAAGCTACATGACCCATGATATTTTATTATCGAAACCCAAGCAATTAAGACAACTTGGGCCACATACCAAAATTAACTAAAAAGCAGATCATAATTCTACATGTAAAACCTAAACCTATACAGTTTCTATATATTTTAAGAAAACTTTTATCTCTGAACACTGAGTTTGGAATTAATAATGAAAGACAGGACTGTAAAATAGGTACAGGGTGTAGGGAGGTATCTGCAATGAGGGAGAGTAAATGGAGAAGATGAAGGTAAGGGAATATGGCTGATGGGCTTCATATACATATACAAAATAGAATAATGAAACCTCTTGCAATTTGCTTTAAGTGGGCCAGGGAGGGGGTCCCGGGGGAGGGAATGATGGGGGTGATCTAACCAATGTACAATGTAAGGCTATTTGGAATTGTCACAATGAATCCCACCTGTAAAATGAGTATATCTTACTAAAAATGGAAAAAAATTTTAAAGAAAGAAAACTTTTATGAGTCCGATTAGTCAAAGATCTCTCAAATATGACACAAAAGCACAATCCCTTAGAGAAATAGCAATCAACTGAATTTCATTAAAATTGAAAACTTCTCTTTGAAAGACACGGTTAAAAGAATGAGAAGATAAGACACAGACTCAGAAAAAGATCTGCAAAGTCTATATCTGATAAAGTGCTTATAACCAGGATACAAAATTCTCAAAATTCAGGATTAAGAATTCAAACAACTCAAAAAAATAATGGGCAAAGAATTTGAATAGACACCTTATCAAGAGGATATATGAATAGCTAAAGAGCCCACAGAAAGATACTCAACACTGTTAGTAACTAGGGAAATGAAAATTAAAAAACACTGTAAGATTCTGGTGTATATCTATGCGATCAACTAAAACTACAAAGACTGATTGCATCCCACGTTGGCAGGGATGTGGAGGAACAGAATGCTCACACTGTGGTGGAGAATATGAAGTGGTACAGATAATGTGGAAACAATGGAATACACCTGACATATGCACAGAGATTCCACTCCTGTGTTTACCCAAGAGGGAAATGTGCACACACGTACTCTGATGCACACACACACAGCCTTGTGCATGAACATTCACTGCAGCTTTGTCTGTAAGAGCTGACAAGTGAGACAGTGCACGTGTCCAGCCACAATTGTATGGGTACACTAATGGTTGTTTATCCAGGCAGCACAGTGAGCAATAAAAACTGAAGGAACTGTTGTAAGGAATGATGTGTGTGGACCCCAGAGTAACTATGCTGAGTGAAAGCAACCATTGATATAAAACCCTAGAAAATGCAAAGCTAGTCTGCAGAGAGAAACTGGATCTGTGGTTCTTGGTGTCAGGAGGGGCAGGAGATAGACACAGGAAAAGGTGGGCAGTGGATATGATATCCATCATATTTTCATGTCACATCACTGGGGTGAATCAGGGGTGTACAAGCATCAAAGCTGACCAGTTACACATTAATAAAGCTGTTTTAAAAAATGAACAAACAACTATCAACTCATAAAGCCTCTAGATGGAAGCACCAGTTCATAGGAAATCTGGGGACAGAAGGACTGGCTAAAGGAGATCAGAGAGAAGCAATCAGCAGAAATCTGAACAAAATATTTCAAGGAAAAAGAAAAGGATGAAGGGGAAACTATAGATTTAAAGAGATGTGTCAACAATTGGCGATATTCAGACGTTCTTTGGATCCCTATTCAAATTATCAAACTATAAAGAAAAGAAAAAGAATAGGAAGAAGAGAAATGAAAAAACTTTACAAAACAATAAGCGAAATGCAAATGCTGCCAGATATTGAATGATACTAAGAATCACTGTTCATTTCTTAGGTGTGATGGGGGCTCTGTTTTTAAACGCCTTTCTTTAGGAGGTAAGTACAAAATGGTCTTGGACTTGCTCAAGAGTACAGATTAGTAAGGTCACTCATGCATCAGTAATGACTGCAATGGGGGGTAGTTTATTCTCTCATGGATATGTAGGTGAAATCATGGGTGCGCCTTGTGGATCTGGGATTGCTCCAAATGACCCGAGGTTGGTTGGCGGGGAGGGGCAGAGAACAGATGCTACAAGTCAGCTGGGGTTATAAGGATGAGATGAAGCTGGGATGCTAATGTCAAGTTGAAGCTTTCCTTTTATGATGTCTAAAATTTCCCCAAATAATCAGTTAAAGAGCCTTAAGGATTTGTGATGTCAGAGCCACCAAGCCTGAATCCCAGCCCTGCCACTCTGCTACACTTACAGGAAGGTTTTTTTCTCCCTCCTTCCCCTCTGCTTAGGCCAGGGAGCACCAGAAGTTGTCTGCTGTATGGCCAACTCAGCCATAGCCACCTGGGCTCTCTAGCCTCGTAGTCCAGGTCCCAGTGCCAAACAGTACTGCTGTTGTGGTCATTATTGCTCATCTCACACAGAGGAACACTTCTCAATGACGCCAGGAAGGACCATATCTCCTCACGAGGGAGGGCTGAAGCTCAGAGAAGAGTTCATGCAGTTTGGGGCTGGGAGTTTGGAAAGCAAAGTCTAGTAGAACAGACTGGGTCTTGTATAGGGGGACAATGATGTAAAGCTGGGTCAGGCTGGTGTGGCTCATTGGTGAGCATTTGCCTAGCATCATCAAGGCCTGGGTTCCATCCCCTGCACACACAAAAGCATTGCGACTGTGAAGGCCTGTTTGAAGCTGTTGTTTTCTTACTTAAATGGGGGTTTCTGCCCTGGAACATGCCACAAGACTATGGGTCCAGCCTCAGAAGTCATTGTTACAAAATCTGACAGAGTCATGGGTATTAGTGGGGCTGCTGCCTGCAGAGGCCCACAGAGGATGAACTGACTGCTAAGCCTCACATGGTGGCCAAGCAAATGCCACCCTGCAGCTGGCTGAGAAGCCCAAAATCTGTGTGGGACCATGGTGAGTCAGATGAGCATTATTTTCTGCCCAATGGTGCAGCCCCAGTGGATGAAGACCTTCCCAGGGACCACCTGCCATGAGCATGAGGTCTTAAGGTGAGCACACACACTCACCCATCAACTCCACTCACTTCTAGCAGTTCTCACTACTGCTCACAACAGCCCATGACCCTAATTAGATCTTACAATGACATTGTGTACAGTCCCAGGGTGGAGAGCTGTGGCATCCTTAAAGCTAGTGTAGATGTCCTTTCGGATGCAGGACTCCATTTAACTAAAATACTGGAAAACAAGGCATCTTCAGTTAGAAAGCTGAGGCACCTGGGAAAGACAGGATGGGGAGCCTGAGTGACAGGAGAAAGAACCAGTATCATACTTGTTTCTTTTAAAGTTTCTATCACTTAAATTTCTTTATAAAGTAGCCAAGCCTAATTTCTACAAATACAACAAGGTTATTTTAAAATTGTTTTAAGTGGATATAGCTATGTTATTGATAAAGGGATAGTCATTTATTTTCATTAAAAACATCAAAATAAAAACCAAGTTTTCTATAGAAATAAAAGCTGATGCTCAGGGAAAGACTCTGCACCCACACTTGTATTCGCTGTTGTGGCTGTCCACAGAAGTTACCCCCAAGTGGACATGCAGCACTGACCATCATCCCAAGTCATCCTGAAATTGAATGTGTGCCAGCCCTACTGACTTGGAGCCAGCTGATGCTGCTAAATGCAAATCCGCCTTCTAGCTCACACAGGCACGGGCTCTGAGAGCAGCAGCAGTAGGCTTGCATCTGTTTTGAGCACACTTGTAAGTTCACCAAGAGCACATCACTTTATTCATAGCCACAGCCCAGTGATAGTAACATTCAGCCAGGACTCTGCAGCAGATACCTGCCCTGGCCACCCCCTGTGCAGCAAGGGCTATCCTAACACGAGGAAAAGACAGTCTCTGCCTGTCCCACAGGCTGGCCAGGGGACCCCATAGAGGACTGCCACAATCACTGACCCAATAATGCCCATGGTCTACATTCAATATTGTTGTTTAGACCCATGACAGTGGCTGCTGGTCATCCCTATGCCTGGTCTCACACTGGCACATCCAGTGTTATGGCCACTCTCCATCCACTGCCGCAATCACCTTCTGTCCACTGCCACTTCCACCCTCTGTTCAGCACCACAGCCACCTTCTGTCCATTTCCACATCTACACCCACTTCTATGACTTCCCTCTCTCTGGTGCCACAATCACCCTCTGTCCACTGCTAAAGGCACCCTGCTATCCCACCCTGGTGCTAGCTAGGGCCATTCTTACTGCTAATGCCACACATGTCTACCTGGCTCCACAGACCACACCAGGAACTCACTTTGGAGACTCTAAAATGTCTCAGGACCCTGAGCGACTCTGCACCTGAGTTGGTGTCCTGGGTAAGAACCTGCATCAACATGAACCATTGTACCTCAATAGGGTGGAGTGTGTGTCCAATCTGATCACTGTGCAGTCACCAGTGTGTGGACAAATGAAGACACAAAGACCATGCTCCAAAGGAATAAGCATGGAGCAGGACACAGCCTCACAGGGCTCTAACTGGCTGCTCCAGCCTGAGGCAGCTGTCACCTGTGTCAGAAGTTGATTTGACGCCAGCTGGTTGATCCAACGTGTATATCGCTCTGTTGAGTTGGGAGGGTCTCTCCTCACCTGACACCCAATGATCTGTGAAAAACAACAACAAACAGAACTTACATAAAGTCTTGTGAGAAGGTATATGGCACATCTATGTGTGTACGACTTTTTTTTTTTACAGTACTAGGAGGGTTTGAGCTCAGGGTCTTGTGCTTACTAGGCAGGCACTCTACCACTTTGAGCCATGCCCTCAGCCCTCTGTGTGTGTATGTTTTATGATGTGTTAAGCACATGTGTCCAGACAGAAAACTACTAAAATCATGAGATCTGGGTCAAGTTAGGCAAAAGTCCCTGGCAAGAGAAGGGGAGCAGGGGACACCTGATCCCACATGGGAGGTCTGAGTAGTGTCTTAACAGTAAATGACTAAGGCTGACCTCAGCTTGACTGAGATGAGTTACACATATTATTTCCCCTTTTGATGAACTCAAGATTAGGATGACACAAATATTAGCTCACAACTCCTGAGTATGATCAATAACTCACTTCCTGAACCCTACTTCAATTTGAAAAAACTGATACCACAGTCTCTGGGAACATGCTGGGTTCAGTCTTAGGAAACCAGTACCCTAAGCAAAGAAGTCAACACATAGGCTCACCTCCTCCAATGTGGCCTCCCTCTGTCTAGACTCTCTTCCCTGTGGGACCACAGCAGTACTTCAACCTCCATGACTCCCTATGCCCACTCTGGAGCCCATCCCAATACCTCAGAACAAGGTCACACATCAGAATACATTCTCATCTCCTCAGAACACATTCCCACCTCAGAATGCTTCAGTATCTACTCAGAACTTGCCTTCATATTCTTAGAATGCACTCTCCTCAGAATTTATCTCAATCATATCAGAACGCAGCCCAACCCTCAGAACACAGCCCCACCTCCTCAGAACACATCCCTGCGTCCTCAGAACATGACACCACTTCCTAAGAACATGGTTCCAACTCTCAGTGTTACCTCAACACAGAACACAGCCTCACCTCAGAATATCGCACCCACCTTCTCAGAAAATGGCCTCACTTCCTCAAAACATGGCCCCATCTCAAAATATGACCCCACCTCAGAACACACTCACCAAATGACCCTGTAACTCCCTCTTTTTGCTTCCTGCAGGACACACCTTGGGTAGCACCACACAGCTGCCTGACTTCCAACAACTCCTGCTGCCTCCTGCCCTCGAGCAGGACTTCCTCTTGTTTCCTCTCCTCCCAACGTTTCACCTCTGCCCTGCACTAGCACCAGCTGGTGGCTGGGACCGCTCTCTAGATGAACTGCCTGTGCTTTCTGAAGGAAAGGCAGGTCTAAGTACGTCCCAGATGCCCAGAGATAAGGGGTTGGGTCCTCCAGATGGCCAGAAACCTGGACAGAGGCCAGTCCCTTTGTTCCTAGGGATCACATTCAGACCCCAGCTTCATGGCAGAGGACTGGCAGTTATGAGGTGGGGGCCTCACAGCAGGACCTGAGCATTTCTCCCCATATCTGGCTGGGAGAGGGCACTGAACCTCTCCAAGGACAGAAGCGTCCACCCCCTACAGAGGCTCCTCAAGTGGATATTGTACGGTTCACACTGATATCAACTCATCCTGGGCTGCAGGTTTGAAGCAAATGACTTGCTCCCATTTCTCTCCCCTGTCTGCTTATCTGTGTTTCTCTCTCTGTTGGTTCTGGGTTTGAACTTAAGGCCTTGTGCTTGCTAGGAGATGCTCTACCACTTGAGCCATGCCCCCAGTCCCTTTTGCTTTTAATCTTTTTGGGATAGGGTCTCTCATTTATGCCAAGCAGGCCTGAACTGCAATCCTCTTATTTATGCCTCCAAAATTGCTGGGATTACAGGTCTGAGCCACCAGCCTGGCCATTTTTTTTTTTTTTTGAGTAAGAGTCTCACTATGTAGCCCAAGCTGCCCTAATACTCTTGGTCCTCCTGCCTCAGCTTCCTGGATGCTGGGATTACAGGTGTGTGCCACCCATGTATGGCTCTCTGCCCTCTCTTTAGGGGAGACCCCTGTGCAAGGACATTGTACCTGTTGCAGGGTCCCCAGGGCTGACTTGGGGACCTTGTGTGGCCACCAGGCATCTTGGTTTTTCTTCCATGGGGTCATTTCTGAACCACACCTGAGGTTCAGAAGCACTGAAGTATGGGGATCTGGCTGCTATTGCAGGGCAGATGTGTGGGGAAGTGGGCAAGGAGCATTCTTCATGTCATGGCCTCCAGGACTTCAGTCCAAACTATAGCACCTGTTCCTAAAGTCCCATGTCCCCCAAGAACCAAAGACAATGTCTGAGAATATCTCACAACCACTCAAGTAAGATTAAATCCTCTGACAGCTTCTAGGTTTCCAAGGGTGGGTCTAAGGCATTATGACCCTGGCCAGCATAGGAAGTGATCACAGGGCCAGGGTGAGGAGTCTGTGTGCTCTCAGCTGACATGCCAGCCCTGGTTTCCTCAGATGAAGGTTTCAGAACAGCCACCAAGAGCCAAGCTGAAGCCATGAGGCCCATGCCTGCTCTGACCAGCTGGCTTCTCCTCTTCTTACCAGAGTCATCAGAACACTCACATTTCCCAGAAGTGGGTTTAAACCACTTCTGACACCCAGGGTATGAGAAAACACAGGCAACTGTGCTATGTGGGACCCTCAGGGCAGTCACTTGTCTGTAACCTAAAGCAGCCACAGTGCAGAAGGGATGAGAATAGGAGTGCAAAAAGCCACTCTAGGACACAGACTGCCTGCGACTGGAGTGAGGAACAGATCATGGAACACATATGAAGCACTCATAGCATCCATGGTCCACACATGATACAGCACATGCATGCTTAATATACCTCTATGCCACACAGAGATGCAACATGTATGACTGTAATGTGTCTCATCCTTATGCACATGGCATGCATATACTCCCTGCACATAGATGTGTAACATGCTTGTGTGACAATGTAGGCTGTGCATGCAGGTACACAACACACTCATATGTACATATACACTCTAGGGGTGTCAGCTCAACAGCATCTGCAGGCACAGTCCCAGTCTGAGGGACTCAGAGAAACTGAACCCAATTTTACATAGAGCACTGCAATGCATGTCCTATAGCTCACACAGCAGGAGAACCAGCAAAGATACCAGGACAACAGGCAACATGGCCACCCGTGGTTTCACCAGCAAGACATGCAGAGGGGAAGGCCCATGCAAGTGGGTCAGCCTTAACTCTGAAATAAGAAATCAAAGGATTTATAGAGTGAGGGACTTAAAGCAGAGAAGCAAAGCCTCCAAATCCCTCTTCTGAGATCTCCGTGTTCTCTGCCTGTGGTCAGCTTTACTGAGCTGTGTCAAACACATCATGAGATTCACCCACTGGAAGTGCTGTGCAATGTCACAACCATTCCATTTTGGGACAGACTCATCCCCACAAATCCCTTCAAGCCCGTGGCTATAGCTCCCATCTCAGCTCAGCCCAACTCAGCAGTGAGCTGTTGTCTCTACCAAGTTGCCTCTTCTGACATTTTGTATTTGTGGAATCAGATGCTATCCAGCCTTCTCCTCTGGATTTCTTCACTCAGCACACATTTCGATGTCCATCTACACGCAGAATGTGTCATTGTCTTGCTCCTTTTTTTATTTGTTTTTGGTTCTTTAGTGGTACTGGGAGTTGAGCTCAGGTCCTTGTGCTTGGTAGGCAGAGGCTCTACCACTTGAGCCATGCTGCCAGCCCCTTGTCTTGTTCTTCTTTACAGATATAGAGCAAGTATCTGCCATATGGACACATCACACTTTTCCTCACTTGAAAGACATCTGGATCACATTGTACCTTTGGCTGCAAAGGTAATGCTACTTTGAAACACATCTGTGTGACATGTTCCACTTCCTCTGAGCAGACTTTTAGGAGGGAATGTTTATTACTGTCCATGGGACCTGCTCATCTGACTTCCCCAGTGGCTGTGGCCATTACACCCTCCAGCACCCTCCTGTCTGCCCATGTGCACCAACATCTAGGACTGTTTGTCTTTTTGTCATACAGTCTCGTGGATATCCAGTGGCATCTGGCGTATTTTCAAGGTCATTACTCACCAGGAACGATGCTAGCACTTCTCAGTGAGTCTGCCAAGGTGAAAAGTCTGTCCAAAACTTGGCCTGTTCTCACGGCTTTATTCATTTACTGATCTGCAAACATTCTTTCATACTCTAGGTACAGTTCATTTTCCATTTAAATGATTTACAACTATTCTCTCCTAGTTGTTGCAATTTCTTAACAGTGTCTTTCAAGTGCAAAAGTATTTAAGCCTAAGTGCAATCTATCAATTTTTCTTTCACGGCTTCTGCCTTGATATCTATCTAAGAACTGTTTACCTCACTTACAATCACTAGGTATTTCTCATTTTCTACTAGAAGTTTCCTCAAGATTTACAAGTCAAAGGGTCCAAGAAGCACAAAGACCACATAGTGCTTTGCAGATTTTCTAACACAGAACACAGGAGAGTCTTGTTATTTATATGAACATGGAGCTTCTTGCAGGGACAGAAACAGGGGTGGAGCCACAGCTGGCCTGTGTCACCATCCATAGGACTGTGGTACAGCCCAAGGGTAGACGGCATCACCTGGGGCTGGGCTGGAGTGTGCAGTGCGTCTGCCTGAGATTCTCCAACAGGCAAGCTGTGTTTACCATTTACCTACAAGAAGATCTCCTTTCTGTTCCTTCTACTCCTTCCATAGGATCCCCATGGGATCCTCTGGGTCCCAGAAACTTTCAAGGAGATGTGGTATCCCTGGAGTGCACTGACAATTTTAAGAGAATAGCATTTCAGATTTTTCCATCCGTGAGACTTCTTTTCTACCACTGAAAGGATTCTCCTGTCCTAATTCTCAGTTCCCAATAGTTCTTTCTGCTTGGAAGAGAAGAAGAAAAAGAGGTGTGGAGGAAGCAAAGGACCCTCCCACTCCTGGGTATTGGATGCCAGCAGAGGTGTGCACAGAGACACTCTGCACATTACCGCAGGTCCCTTTCAGGTCTGGGCACTGCGAGGAAAAAAAGATACCTGTTGACCTTTTACCCCAGAGGTCAGTGAGACCTTACTTAGTGGTCAAGTTCCTGCCTCACAGAATGGAAAAGGGTAAGTGAAAGTGTACTTAGAGGTGAAGCTCCCACAAGGCAGGGTAGATGAGGGTCAGTGAGATTGTACTTAGGGGAGAAGTTCCCACCTCACAGGGTGGACAAGGGTGAGACTGTACTTAGATGAAGCTCCTACCTCATAGGATGGACATGGGTCACTGACATTGTACTTAGGAGTGAAGCTCCTGCTTTACAGCATGGATGAGACTCAGTAAGACTATACAAAGAGATGAAGCTCCATCCTCTTCATGGGATGAACTAGGGTTGGTGAGACTGTGCTTAGATGTAAAGCTTTCTTCTCACGAGATGAAGTGGGTCAGTGACACTGTAATTGGGGTGAAGCTCCTGACTCATGGGGTAGGCAAGCATTCTATGGGGAAATGGGTTTCAAAGGATGGGAGACATTGGCTCCATAGTCTTTGAAGCCTTCATCTTCCCTCACTGTGAGATGATGAGAAAGCTCACCCCATGAGATGTATCCTGAGAAAGAGAGAGAGGTTCTGACACCCCAGTTCTCCCATGTCTCAGTGCCTATGGCTAATGTCGATGTGCCTGTTACTGATACTGGACCTGATTCCCAGAGCCCCAGGATACTCTGACATTCATAGCAGGCTATTCACTTACCCTTTGGACAGGGAAGGTCCACTATCAGCCCTTGAATGTCCATCTGTTCCAAGGCCAGGGGACAAGCTCCACACACCACCATGCTTGTGTGCAGGGTACCACAACCTGTGAGATGATGTCATCTTCCTGCTTCCACCTCAACTTCCCTTGGAGTCTTTGAAGCTGTGCATCCCACAGCTCCTCCTTTTATGCCTCTGCTCTGTCCACCTCAGGACCCCACAGAGCAAACGTAAGTCTCCTCACCCCATCCCATCAGAACCGATCTCTACTACAAAGGCTCAGGAAGCTAGCAATCAACAGGAGGAAGTATTACACTCAGAGCTACCTAGTATCATCTAAGGTATAAGATTTCAATGGCATCAGCCATGAAAGCTGCCCTCAAAGGTCTTTTCCCCTAACCAGTGGTTTCCTTGTAAATGGCCTTAGAGAAATAATGACAAACTGGGAGCAAATCAGTATTCACGTATTCCTCAAAACAAACTGCACAACATAACCAAAGCCACCAGCCAGCAAATGCAGAGTAGGACTTTGTAGGTCACAGTAAAAGCATTCTTCAGGCCAACTTTTTATCAGCAGAGCCATTGGTCACGGCATCCTAAGGGTCATGAGGAGGAAAGGACAGAGACTCTCTATCCATCTCTGCAGTTGGAAGATGTGGTATGGAATGTTGGGTGGAGCATCCAGAGTTTTTAGTGAGAAGGAGAGCAAGAAAAGTCATAATCTAGACCTGTAACAATCTATATACCGTTCATTTGAATGAATGCCATGGAGAGCTGCAAAAGTGACCACCTCAGGGCAGTCAATCTGTTTAGTTTTAGGATGGGAATGAAAACATCTGACATTATCTCTTCCTCTAATTGTCAGCACTCATTACAAAGTTCTTTACAAGTTTCCAGTATGTACCTAGATGTTAAAAACTTGGAAACTGTTGTTTCCTGCCCTATAAAAGTTACTGTGAGTGAAACAAGTGGCATCTTACATGAGGATGAACACCCCAGCTGCACAGATGCCCACTTTCCAGCTGGGGCCAGGCCAGTCTGAAGCCTCAACTTCACAGAAGGGTGAGGTTGTCGGGACAGCAGAGCCCAGAGGTCTGAGTTCAGCAGTGTTCTCGAAGCCAAGCTCAGCCTGAACTCAGGGAACAGGTGCATTTCTGACATTGCACTGCTCCTTTCTTCTTTAACTTCCACATGCAACATTATCTCACCTGTCAGAGCCACTGGGAGGAGTTTCTTCAAATACCAGGCTCTGCATTTCACTACACATTGCATAGAAATCCACCCAGAAGGACTTGCTTCTACTTTGTTTCTTCTTCCCAATAAGGAACCAGACCAAAAAACTAGTATGTGCAACTAATCTCTCTTTCATGTGACTGAGAAACCTGCCAATACCTCTGGAGGGTGGGGTAGAAATCCCCAAGCCATCCAGTAATGCCTAATAAGGCCAGTCCTGAGGGCTGGAGACACCACAACCCAGTGTGGACAGAGTTCTCATGGGTTCCCCAACAGTACATGCTGATAGCTTCTCTAATTAGAAATGGAAGAAATGAAATATTCTATGCCTTTAAACTTTAGAAAAGCAACCTCTAGAACCTGTGGTCACCGGTCACTATGAAAACACACATTTACACATATTTGTGGTTCCTCAACTCTGCTGGCTCATGACCCTTTCAGAATGGAGCAAAGCCACAAAGCTCTCTGGCCCTCACTGAAATGCACCCCACACAGAAACTCCTGCAGTTACCCTGGGACCCTGAACCCCCTGGGACCTTGTGTGCCCACAGTGGAGGCAATCACAAAGACCCCTCTCCTCCTAGGAGAGTGGCCTGTGTTTTGTTTGTATTTCCTGTTTTCACACACTCTCGGGCACCACTGTTGCCTACCACATCTCAGAGATGCTGTGTTCAGGACCACTTGTGCACCTACCTTACAACCCTGCACTTGGGGTGGCCCTGAGAACCTTGTGTGCAAGCAGAAATAGCCAGAGGCAGCAGCAAGGGCCTGGGGCAGGATGGGAAGGGCAGGGCAAGGCAGGCAGCCTATGGGGTGTGGACTGACAAGGTCACAAGCCCCACTTGGGACACACCACCCCAAGAGCCACAGAGCCACCAAGGAGCTGCACATGTGCTGCTTCTGCCAAGGGCCTCTTCATGGACAGCCAGGGGTGTTTCCTATTGTCCTATGAGCATGTTCCACAGTCAGGTTTGTACCTCTGTTTAAATTTAAGCAGTGTATTAGAGAGTGGCTCAAGTGGAAGCATGCCTGCCTAGCAAGTGTGAGACTGAGTTCAAACCCCAGTACTGCCAAAAATTTATTTAAATTTATGTTTAAGCGTATAATTAATTCCAACTCAGAGAATATGAGTCTTCTGTATTGGACTTAAAATAAGGTAGTAAACACCTGCTACTCCAGGGAAGGGAGTCCTGAAGCTGCTTCCATACAGTCAGACACAGCTAGTGCCAGAGGTGAGAAGTAAAAGGTACCAAATTTCTTAAAAGTAGACAATAAGCAAGCTGTATCCAGAAGTCCCAAAACAAGGCTGACTGGAGGAGAACAAGCCTCCCTGGATGAAGGAGGCTGGCAAGGCCTTGCTAAATTCACCTCAAGGAGACTGTTCCATGAGTTTTTCCTTTTGAGTAACAGCATGGTGACTCTCCATTTCAGTGTGCTGTGAGGCAATGCACTCCCAGCACTGCAGGGGCCAACACAAGAGTCAGTACAGCCCTTGTGATGTGAGCCCTGAATGTGAGGGCCAGCACAGCATAGAGGCGAGGGTCAGAGCAGTATAGCATGGAGGCAATGGCCAGTGTGGTATGGACACAAGAGCCAGTGCAGCATAGTGTGGATGCATGGGTTAATGCAGTGTAGACAGGGGAGCCAGTGTAGTGTGAACCTAAAGGCCAGAACAGCATGGACACGAGAGACAGTGTAGTATGGACATGAGGTCCCGCATGGTTTGGATATGAGGACTAGCACAGCATAGAAGCAAAGGTCAGAGCAGCATAGCATGGAGGCAAGGGCTAGTGTGGTATGGACACAAGAGCCAGTGTGGCATAGTGGAGATGCAAGGATTAGTGCAGTGTGGGCAGGAGGCCAGCACAGTGTGGCTCTGAGGGCCAGCATGGCATGGAAGTGAGGGCCAGTTGGCATGGAGGCAAGGGCCAATGTGGCATAGACACAAAAGCCAGTGTGGCATAAACACAAGAGCCAGTGTGGAATAGTGGGGATGCAAGGAATAGTGCAGTGTGGGCAGGGGGGCCAGTGCAGTATAGACCTGAAGGCCAGCACAGAATGGACATGAGGGACAGTGCAGTGTAGACATGAGGGCCAGTGCAGCATGGATGTGAGGGCTATCATGGTGTGGAAGCAAGGACCAATGTAGTGTAGCCCAGTGTGGCACAGTGGACACAAGGCCCAGCATAGTAAATCATGAACACAGAGCCAGTGTGGCATGAGCAGACTGCACATGTAGACATGGGAGTCAAACTATGTAGGTCAATCACTCTCCAGGATGAGACAGCAGCCTGCTCTGGTGAGAAGCCACTTGGGAAAGGACACCACTGTCATAAAAGAAGTTACCATCACCAATTTAGATTCCCTCTAAAACTTAAGGGGAGTCTGAGGACAGTGCCCACTCTCTGTGGGGAGGGCCCTTCCTCCCAGGCAGTGGGTAAGGACAGGCAGGAGTCTACCAGGGAGCTCAGGGTGGATGGGCAGTGGTGAAGTGGGAGGATGAGCAAGAGGTGGCTCTCAGTATGGAGGATTGCATTTTATTTTTATTTTTACTTTTTTATTATGTTATTGTTCTACTGGGGGTACACTGTGATATTTACAAAAGTTCTTTCAATATATCATAGTGGAATTTACCCCCTCCAATTACAGAGGATGTTAAAGCTGCCAACAAAGAGCTCTTAGCCTGGTCTTCTTTCCAAGGGTTCATCTTAGAACACACTAGTTACAAAGCAACAAATAAACCAAGCAATTTTTCCTATCCATTTTTAAATGACAAGTACTATCTGAAATGAGAGGCATGATTTTCTTCAAAGGAAGACACGTGGGTACTTAAAGAGACATGCCAGCCACAAACCCCTGATTTGGCAATGTGACATATGTGCACTTTTTTCACCTTGAGGGAAAGTCTCCATGTACAAAACCATATAAGCAATCCCATCAAAAGGGACGACACAAGAAAGGTGTTGTACTCACACTTGTCGGGTGCTGAACAGCAGCTTCATGTTGCAGCCTTACCCTCTGGGGCATCATCACATCATCCTGTGTAAAGAGCACATTTTAAATTCATAAAACAACTCCAACACACAGTAAGAAAAGGGCACCCAACAACAAAACAGGAAGAGGTGTAAGTAGGCGATTCAGCCAGAGGATTCCAAGGATCAGGACCCTCATTGCTCATTAAGAAAGGGTGACCAGAGGAAAAAAGAAAATCCTGATGATTCCAAGTGTGACAGAGGACTCAGAGCAACAAAGACACTCACACCTGTGAGAGGTACCACATTGTTCTGAGACACAAGTTTGGCATCGTCCAGTGGATCTGGAGGTACATAATCCCTAAGACCCAGTCATTTCACCACCTGTGAAGAAACAGTCCTACCCAAATGGGACACCAACAGGAAGCTCACAGCAGCCTTGTTCAGATGTGGAGTGCTGCTGTCCATGAACATCACATGAAAAAATAAGCTTCACATTACTACTTTCCATCCACTCAGTGATGAGACTCAGCCACAGCTGCTCACACCAGTAAACTCACAGACCCAACAATAAAAGAATAGATGCAGCATTGCTCCGTGTATTTAAATTGAAAACCAAGCAGAATTAACCATATTACTTAAGAAAGCACACATAATCCAAACTATAAAGAAAAGTGAGAATATTATCGCCCAGCAGGTCAGAACCAAGGTCCTTAGCAGAGGGTCTGGGAGCAGCGGCAGTGTGGTTCTCCTAAGGTACTGACAACGGGTACTGCCTGACAGTTCACATACATGTGCTTCACAATTAATCTTTAAAGTGCACAGATTTTGTGCATTTTTCTGTGGGTATATTTGATCTCAACAAAAAAAGTGTTTTAAGTGGATGAATAATAAACAGGTTTAAGTATTTTCATATAAAGTTACAAATGTAGGCAATAGAAGAACTAAAAACAATGTCACTGGGAGAATATTTATCTTTGAATTGAGAAATAAGATGAACTAAAAGATCCATACTTGTATCTCTTATTTCTGCAAAATGGCTATACGAACCTTCTGATAATCCAATGACATGTGAATAAGTAAAATGGGAGGAAGCTGGCAAGCTAGGGTCAGGATAGATGGAAGAAGATGAAGAGAACAGGGACAGAGCTAAAGGCCAGCAATGACCTGAAGAGATATTCAAAACAAATGTTCAGGCAGCTAAGGAAGCACAAGTAAACACATCTCTGAGCACCACAGAGCAGCCTCCCAGGACCTGTATGGGCTGCTAGAAAGGAAGGCCAGGGTTATGGGAGGCACTGCCTCTCCTGGGCCCAATCACCATCTACCTGTAAACTCATGGAGACTCAAAGAGTCAATCTGCTGTCTGATCCATACCCAACATAGCATCCCCAGGCCTTGCTTTCCTTTGGAAGGGGTGTTTCATACCTTTCCAGAGCCAGGACCAGTCAATTACTTGTAGTTGATACCTCAAGATATTTTTGGACAGATGAATGATTTTTTAATTCACTTCATCTACAAAGCACTCACTATACTCATGATACTAATCACACTCTTCTATAGTTTAAAATGAAATGGCTGACATTCCTTCATTCTGTAACCATGGAAACGGGTATGGAAAGGCCATGTGACTTACCCAAGTCTGGCAGCAACTTCATGTCAGGGTTAACACTGATGGCAAACCTTCTGTACTGCTATGGTATCCCACACAGCACAACCTCTGGCCAAGGGACTCCCTTCATGGCCAAAGAATAAACAATGGGCTCAGGCTCATGGAACACACGGGTCTTACCATGCTTCCCACCATCCTGGGCAGCTGGCTGGACAGGAGGCAGCTACAGAGCCAGCTGGTAGCAATGCCTTGCAGGGCTGGGCAAGGTTCTTCAGAAGACTGATTGCTCTGAATCAGGTTTAATACATGGTGCTGCTTCTTCCACAGCCAGGACTCACGGGTCCAGGAATTACGAGGTGGATATGAGAACGGTACCACTCACCCTGAGTTACCCAATAGCAAAAACTCTGCTTCCTGTGGCTTAGGAGTATGGTTCAAATGGTAGAGTACCTGCCTAGTAAAAGCAAGGTCTTTAGTTCAAAGCCCAATACAACCAAAAATATGCTTCCTGTTCCTGTGACCTTATGCTCTGCTGGCCTGGAAGTCTTGGTTCCTGAAAGGGAAGTGCCTCACAGAGACACAACAGTGATTCCACTGGATAGGAAATTACAACGCCACCTCCCACAGTGGCCTCCTCGTGCCCAAGTCAGAAGGCTGAGAAGGGAGTCAGGGTGTTGGCAGGGGTAACTGACCCAGACCACAAAGGGGAACTGAGTGCTCCACGGTGGAGGTAAGGAAGAAAGTGTCTGCAGGGCAGGAGATCCCTCAGGATGCTTCTTAGTATTATCATGCTCTGTTATTAAGGTCAATGTCCCACATCTGCAACCCCAGCATTTGAGAAGCAGAGGGGGGAGAAGCATGGGTTCAAGGAGAGCCTGGGCAGCACACCTGATTGTATATCTTGTCTGGAAGGAAAAATAGCCAGATGTGTGACTATATACTGATTCATAAATTGTAGCCAATGGTTTGGCAGGATGCTCTCAAACAACATAAACAAACAAACAAAAAAGCCAGTAGAAAACTGTAACAACTAACCTAGGCAGGACGACAAATGGCCTGGACCCTTCAGGAATGACAGTGTGGGTCACCTCTCCAGTAGGGAACCAAGACCTGCTGAGGAGCTTGCAAAAGTGCAAGGAATACAGAATGGGTACAGAAGGGCATTATAAACACCAAGTATGACCATATGACCAGTTATAGAAACAAGAACTGTGCTTGTCATGAGTAATTCTTTTTTTTTTTTTTTCTTTTTGGTGGGACCAGGCTTTGAACTCAGGGCTCTGCACTCACAAAACAAAAGCTCTACCACTTGAGCCATGCCTTCAGTCCATTTTGGTATGGTTATCTTGGAGATGGGGGTCCTACAAACCATTTGCCCAGGCTGGCCTCGAACCACGATCCTCCTAATCTCAGCCTCCCAAGTAGCTGGAATCACAGGTGTGAGCCATGGGTGGCTGGCTGGCTATTTCAACTTTAAGTACTGTTAATTTTACATCATAGTATTTGGGTTATGGGATGTTAGGAGAGTAAACATCATTCAAAGATTTTACCTCCTCTTCTGGGAAACAGACTGTGCATTTTCGGTTGTACCCAGCATAATTGTATCATGCATCATGACAAGTAGAATCCCACCTAACTATGATAAACCTATGATCTTGTCATTGTCTGTCTTTGGAAACTAAGTATAGTTTAAGGAGAAGTGTATGGGAGCCAGGCTGACAAGGGGTGGACCTGTGATGGTTAATTTTATGTGTGGACTTGACTGGACTATGGGCTACCAGGTAGTTGGTAAAACATTTCTGGGTTTATCTATGAGGGTGCTTCTAGAAGAGATGGGCATTTGAATCAATGGACTGAATAGAAAAAATTTTCCCCACCCATGGGGTGGCATCATCCAATCCTTCAAGGTCTGAATTGAACAAAAAGACAGAGGAAAAGTGGATTTCCTCACTCTTCTTGAACTGCGAGATCCTCCTTGTGATGCCCTTAGATAATGGTCTCCTGGTTGGGGAACTGGGACTTTGATGGGTACTTACACCATCAGTTCCCCTAGTTCTTGGGACTTTGGATCTGGACTGGAACTGACAACATTGGCTTTCCTGGTCCTCCAGCTTGCAGACAGCAGAATCCAGTACTCCCAGCTTCGTGATCTGTTATTTGGTGTCTCTGGAGAACACTGACTAATACAGGATTAACTAAAACTCCAATTTTACAACTCAAGGATCCACATTAAAAAGCACAGCTGCCCAGTGCTCTCAAGAACCCAAAGAACATTCAAATGCTATTTCTATCACTTCTACTAGAATCACCTCCCTGCTGGGAGTCTCAACAAAGTCAGCATCTACAAGAGCAAAGAGAAACTCACTGGCCAAACTTTCCAGAAACCAAAGATGATGCAGTGAGCTAACATTCAAGCCAAAACATGAACAGCAAAGCCGGTACCAAACTCTTTTTGGGAAGTAAAACTCTTATTGACTATAAACACATTCCTTGTTCTCCAGAGGCCACCGTAAAGAAGAAACACTTGCTGAAAGACTGGAAAATGAAAAGGTATTTATTGCACATGAAAGCAAGGGGGCTCTGATAAGAAGCCAAATGTGTTTCTGCAGCAGCAGGGTGACTCCATCCCCTTTGCAGAGGCCTGCTTAACCTGGCCCTGCCTCCCAGTCCAGGCAGGTCCATATTCTCTGGCTGACACAAAACATCAGGAACTGGTTAACAATGTCAGCTGGCATCTGAAATGCAAAGCAAAGGCACTAAAAGGACAGATGCAAAGGGCTGTCAGCACCACCTAAGGACATCCACTTCAGTGCTCATGCTGAAGATGAGAAGCTGGAACTGTCTCTTCTCACTTTGAGAGGTAGCTTTTAAATCTCACTACTGGTCTTCCCTGATGTGAGCAAACTTCCACAATGAGGAGCAAGGAATCTGCTGTCAAATGGCCTGGCAGGCCGTGGGGAGGAATTTGATGCATTGTTTAAAAAAAAAAAATTAACTCAAAATTAAATACTGTCCCCTTTATGACTTAAAAAATATCTGGAGGAGGCATTTTCAGTCCTCCAACTTATCTTGGGCAAAGGCAAATAAGCCTCTGAACACAAGAACATCAATAGGAAATAACTGTGTGCTCATAACCATAGCTAAAAAATATTAGTGCTTGGTACACATATGGTACAGAGGCATTACAGAAAGATGGATGGAGCATTTCAGGAATATTATTTACATTAATGAAGGAAAATTACTTTTTAAATATAAAGTATTGTCATGGTTGTTTTATTTGGGACTTCTGTTGGTATTTCTGTACCCACTAATATATTCTGAACCTTCAGATAAAAAAAGAAAAAAGTCTGGTAGAAAAAGACTGCTAGTCAAAAAAGCAAGAGTTCTATGACACCGGGAGCTGCAGCAGCTCTGAGCTGGCGCCCTTTCCTGGAGAGAGGCCTGGTGGAAGTGCT